GAGGGCCTCAGTAAAGCAGGATGGGGACCCTGGGGACACAACGCAGGAGCTGTAGGATGAACCCGAGTTCGCCCAGGTGCTCGGGACCAGGCTGGCATGGCAATTCCCAGCTCTGGCAATTGTCCCCTCGGTTCCCGGGTCACCTCCTTGGTGTCACTCACGTTGTATTTCTGGAAGAAGGTGAGGTAGCGAATGACTCCGACCCAGACCAGCAGCGTGGAGGTGCCCAGGAGGATGCTGCAGACGTCGTAGCTGGCAAAGTTCTGCAACAACAGAGATGTCACGGACCTAAGGAAGAGCCACCGCTGTCCCCAAAGTCCTCAACACTGTCCCCAAAGCCCCCAACGCCATCCCCAAAGACCCCAACGCCATCCCCAAAGCCCCCAACGCCGTCCCCAAAGCCCTAACAACCCTCTGCACCAGCCACAAGCTAGCGGCGAGTGAAATCTTGGTGCCACAAGTGACAACGCAGCAGCAAAACAGGACCTTGCCTGTCCCTTTATTGCCATCTCCCTGTCTCAAAGGAAAAGGGGGACTCTGGGGTCCCACCCGGGGCCAGGACCCCTCTGTGAACCCCTCAGGAGCGATGTCTGTCCCCTAATCCACCGTCAGGGCCCTGATCGCATCCAGGACAGCTTCACCGGGGCAGACAATGCATTACCAGCACCCAAGGGTGCTGGTTGTGTGGTTTGCCTCCTGCCACACGGAAACGTCCTCTCCTCGGAGCACGGGGACGCTCGCGCCAGCAGCCCCAGCGCACCCAGAACCTGCAAAAACTCGGTTTCACTCCCCAGTATCCCCGTACCTTGGACTCGATACCAATCTTCATGATGGTTCCCAGGACGGTGAGGACATCGCTGATGACCAGGAGGATGTACCAGCCGTTGAGGAATTCCATGCGATCCGACAGGCACACGCTTTGGTTGTAACGACGTTGGAAGAACCGGCTGAACTCCTGCGTACGGAGAAAAAAAAACGGGGACCTTTACCCACCACTTGGAGAATTTTGCGCATCTCGCAGCACCCCAAGCTTTGTCTCAGCATCCCTGTGGGGGAAATGGCTTCCTTCGACACCCGGCAGTGCCGAAACAGCGTTCCGGTGGTAGCTCTGGTCATTCCCACCGGTTATACCGTGGATGGTAGCTACGGTTAGCGACGCTTTCCACCGTCCCACCACTCACATGCTGCAGCATCAGGCCCCGGATGATGGAACGAGCGCAGAGGATGAAGGAGAGCGAGCAGACGAGGATGACGACGACGTCAAAGAAGAGCCGGAAGGAGTTGTCACCTGCAAGACACGCGGTGGCGGTTCTTAACGAGAGGGACAGCCACCCAGGAGCACCCTGAGCCCCCCACGCAGCCCTTCGGCACCTCGCTGCTCCTACCTCGGCCGAAAACGCTGGGATCTTTGCACTCCTTGATGTCAGCCCGGTTGTCGAGGTGGATTTTTACCCGGCCGCTGTGCGCCTTGTTGTCGAACGTGATCTGGGGAGAAATGAGACGGTTACCCTCCGTGAAACCATCCGGCAGCTTCTCGGTGCCGGGACGCTGCCTGTACTCCGTCCCTACGTGCCCACGAGGGATGTTGTCACCCCGGCGTAGCCAAACCGGATCGCCCCGAGGTGGGGAGCGGTGCCAACGCACTCACGGTGATGGTGAAGGTGTAGCAGTCGGGGATCTCGTTGTTGATGATGGTTTGGATGTTGATGGCTTTCAACTTGAACTGGATGGTGACGTTGATGAGTCTGCGGGAGAGGATATTTGTTAAGCCTTCTCCTGGGGTGCATCCAAAGTGTCTCAGCCCACGTAGCTCCACCTCCAAAACCCCAAAACCCGGCGCCGAGAGCCAAACAACCGACAAAAAGGGGATAAACACCTTCCTCGGGGGTGCGTACAGCCCCAGGAAAGGGCGTCTCCGGCTCTAGTGGAACAAATCACACCCAACCTGCCCCAGCGTCGGTGAATTTTGCTTCAAGGGGGAAGCTGGATCCTCTGGAAGAAATGGTGCCGCAAGCTAAACCACATCTCTCGGCGCCAGCAGCGCCGGCATCCCTCTGCCTGGCACCGGCAAGAAGATGGGGCCTGTCCACGCCGATAACACGCCCGCAACCGCAGGGCTTGGCCACGGGCCATCAAAATGCCGCCGAAAGCCAGCGCAGGGTTTTGGGGAAGGGAAAACGAGCCCCGACGCAGGTGTCGCAGGACAGTCGTGGTGCCTCGGGGTCAGCTCCGCGGCCGACGCCGATGGCGACGGGGCCGGAAAGCGGCTGGTTTGTTGTGCAACCTCACCGGTTTCACATCTCCCTCGGCACAAGGACGTATTTGTTTCCGTCCCGCGAGCGGTTTTTAAAACCAACGGGGGCTTTTCCGTCCCGGCAACAGGCTTCAGCGCAAGGAAATCCCCACGTTGGGGTCCCCGCTCCACCCTCACCCGTACCCTGCGCCGATGGGATGTCGCCAGCACCCAAACGCTGGGACAACCCGGATTGCGGGGAAGGCATCGGCGATTACTTGTGAAATTTGAGGGTGAAATTCTTGTAGTTGCGATCCAGCTCTGGGGGAAGAGGCTGTGGGTCCTCGGGGTTGACGCCCAGGCAGTCTGCAGGGAGGGAGAAGCACCTTCAGGGAAGCCCAAGGCTCCACGCAGACCCCTCGGACCCTTCTCAAGCCCAAAACGAGGACCAAAACCCACCCCAGGACCCAGCGGTGGCTTTGGGACAAGGAATCTCAGTGCCATCGTCCCCCAAAACCCACCCGTAACAATTTTGGGGTCGATGTTGAAGGTGTCGTTGGCCGGATCGATGCGCCCTTTACGGTAGTATTGCTGACACAGCACGAGGGCTGACTGGTTCCCTCCGCTCTCCCCTCGCACGTAGGCGTAGCGACCGATGGTCTCGTTGGGAATGGCCAAGTACTGGAGACGGAGATGCCCTCAGTAGTTAGACGTGGCCTCAAGCCACCTCCGTGGCCCCAAGCCACCTCCGTGTCCCCCCTCTGCTCGTGGATCTCACCTTCTCCACGGCGTAAAACACGCGGTCGTAGAGGTCACGTTGCGTGTAGACGGCGTAGGAATCGTCCGCGCCGTCTACGTAGTCCTTCAAGAAGAGATGTTTGAAGGCGATGGTGTTCTCCTCCTTGAACGTCACCACCATCTGGTTGCTGAGCCCAAAAAGGATGAGCTGAGGGATAAAAAGAGACGACAATTAAATCCCTGCCCCGGCAGCTCCGTAAACGACACCGCCACGGCCCACAATCCAGCCGGTTCACCCCAAAGACGCTCACGGGAAGGAAAACGCCAGCACCCTACGCTCGGGTGACCCCAAGAAGACAAAAGGCCAGCTACCACGTCCCCGAGGTTGTCCCCATCTCCACCCGGTTACCCCAAAACCTCTTAAGGTGCCCATTTTCCTGCGGCAAAGCTCCCCTCCCACCGCAGACGGCGAGAGGACAATCTCCTCGGGGACACGCACGTGTCGTGTGCGTGTCCCCGCTCCCTAACCAAACACCCCGAGAACATGACGGCAGAGCGAACCCTGATCTTCCTCCTCTTCGTCACCATTTTCCTTGCCTTCGTACTCTAAACTCCTCCCCGTGCCGGTAATTAAGGTTGTATTTATTAACACAAGACGCCACTCGTTAGCAGGGCGAGGGCATGGGTGGCTCCGGGTGACACCGCTCGAAGCCTCGGCGGGGGAAAAGAGCACCCAGGACAACACCGCGGCGGTGGCTTGGGAGCCGTCGCCTGCCAGGCAGGGTGCAGGAAGCCAGGATGTGCTGAGTAGGCAAAA